TAGGGAAAATAGAATCTCCACAACAACAAATATACTATGATGGAAGAATGAGAGGTAAAATAAAATCTTGGGACAATTTAGTGTGCACAGTCCAGAAGTTATAAACCATTTTCCTTCCTTCCAAATTCCCCTAATATTGAAGGGACGACCGACAAAAATACAACATGAGGGATTTTGTTCCCTTTATTTCCCCTCTTCTCCCCTACAGATTTTTGAACCAAACAAGGTAAAATTAGGAAAATCCCTTCTCTTCCCTCTCCTTCCCTACATTTCTCTTCAACCAAACATTGTAAATCATTCAATCAAGAAACTTGGGAGATCTTCAAATAGGTTGATACAGAATCACACAGCAGATAACACAGAATCTATTGCTATTCTCTTTTTACCATTTCCTATACTAAAAATTGATAATAATCTAAAGATTGGGAATGAAACAAACAGAAAGAAAATGGAGGGCAACAGATTGATCAAATAGGACTAACATATCACATCCGGGCTGAAGTCAAATGCTTTATGCGGCAATAATAAAAATAAGTGCAACCAAGACTTCGATCATTCACAAATTGATGTAACAGAATTTTATAGAAAACTTGATAGTATAATTTGGTAAGTCACAAAAATAATTCAGTCCCTGTTGACTTGTTGAGGGTTTTTAAAATGAAATTTCCATCAATATTCAGTAAGCAATACCCAGTTGAAGAGTGATTATGTCAATTACATCCACATACCTTTGGACCCCGATCAACCAATCTTGCCCATTCATGCCGGTTCCTCAAACAATCAAGAACAGCCTGAGAGTGACTTGAGTATGCATACCGCTCTCCATTATGCTTCCTCAAGTTATGCCAGTGCTGTGATAAAACACAAAACAAACATGTTTACGGATAAGCCATTTCATAGTAGAAATAAAAAAAAAAAAAAAAAAAAAAAAAAAAAAAAAAAAAAAAAAAGAACTAACAAAGAATCATACCGGTAGCACAGCATTACAGAGTTCCACATATGTCATGCGCTTCCCTGTGCTCATAATTTCATTGATTAAACCTGCATTTGGATACATATGTATAGTAAGAAACTATCCACAATCTGCTGGATAGACTCACAAATTAATTTCATTTCTATTTCAGTATTTACCAAAAATTTAAAATTACAGAGATATTTGTTGTTTGTCTGACTACAAATTATAAGTTATGAAGCATGGATACCTCTCCTATTTGAAGTGTCACAGTGTTACACACTTCATTATATATCTAATTAAAAACATTTTTTGTCAGCTTGAATACTGAAGCTGTCACCTTTATACAACACTCAGACACTTGAACTGACACTTCTGTATCGATAGACAAACTAATACTTATTTTTTAATTTATAAAAGAGTCAGCTTAAAATCTAATTAAAAAAATAAGAAATAATGCCTCACATTTGTTGTAAGGCTTGTTATCATAGAAAAAACTTGAAAAGTTGGTTTGAGAAGGTGAATATCCCTTTCTTAAAATATATAACTACATTTCCTTATTTTGGGAATTTTTGTAAAGAGACCAAGTTCTTTGATGGTAAAATAATGTTAATACTCTTTTGTGAGACTCGTTATTATGAGGAAAAAATAAATAAATATGGACTGTCCCAGTGTCCTATATTTTAAACAAAAGTTGTGTCAAAGTGTATGTGTCTGTGTTGTGTGTAGTATCCATGTCAATGTTCATGCTTAATAGGTTACAAGAGTAGGTCATGCCCAGACCGACATCTATGATCTATATATGGTTTCTGACTGACTATATACAAGTTATATATGAATTCCTCTTCAACTTGAGATGTTTTTATCTCATCTCAAGAACCTCTATTAGTTAAGATGACTTCATGTATCATTGTTGGAGAAAAAGCCCTCGCACATACGATAAGGAACAAGGGACAAAATACACATAAAAACACATCACAAATAGAAATAGCGAAGAACACAAATTAACGAGATTTAACACTTCTTGCTTACATCCATGGAACCATCTCAAAAGTGTTTAGTAGGTCAAATAAGATCAGAAATTTTCTAAACAAACTTTAATAACTCTCCCCAAATAGTGTATTGCCCTATAAATCCAAGTCTTCAACTCAAAATTAAAAGGAATGATAAAGACTCTCACTCACAAGAGATTCTCTCGCATCTTCTGGACTTACATCTCTTCTACTTGGGTACAAGACCCTCTCTTCAACTTGGGATGGTTCTTCTCATTTCAAAAACCTCTATTTATGGTAGTGGTGATGACTTCTAATATCACTGTCAAGGAAAAAACCCTCTCACACGAGGAACAAAGGATAAAACACACAAAGACACCACAAATAGAAATAATGGAAGAAGAACACAAAAATTAGTGTGGTTCAAAAACTCTTGCCTATGTCTAAAGAACTGTTTCAAAAGTGTTTCACTATCTCAAACAAAATTACAAGTTTTCTAGACAAATTTGTAAATCTCTCCCCAAATAGTCTATCACCCTACAAATCCGAGTCTTCCACTCAAATGTTACAAGAAATGATAAACACTCACTCACAAGAGACCGTCTCACATCTCTTCTACTTGAGTACATGATCTCCTCTCCCTTTTGAACTTTGATGGTTCTTTTCATCTCAAAAACCTTTATTTATAATGGTGGTGATGACTTCTAATATCACTGTTGAGAAAAAACCTCTCGCATGCACAAGGATCAAAGTATAAAGCACACACAAAGACACACCACAAATAGAAATAACAGAAGAACACAAAAATTAATGCGGTTTGACACCTCTTGTCTATGTCTACATAATCATTTCAAAAGTGATTCATTATCTCAAATAAAATTTATAAGTTTTCTAGACAAACTTGAATTTTTTTTCCCAAAAATAGTGTATCACACTACAAATTCAATTTTCCACTCAAAAGATACAAGAAATGATAAACATTCTCACTCACAAGAGAGCCTCTCACATCTCTTCACCTGGGATGGTTCTTTTCATCTCAAAAACCTCTATTTAGTGGTGGTGATGACTTATTATACAACTGTTGGGGAAAAGTCCCAAGCACACATACCAAAGATCAAAGGATAGAATACAAACAAAAACACACCAAGCGAAAGAACACATATATTAACATGGTTCGGCACTTCTTGAATACGTCCACGAACTGTCTCAAAAGTGTTTTCCTATGTCAAATAAGATTACCATAAACTCCCCCTCAATAGTGTATCACCCTACAAATTTGAGTTTTCCACTCAAGTCATAAGAAATGATAAACACTCTCTCACTCATAAGAGACAATCTCACATCTCTTCTACTTGAGTGCATGACCTCCACTTAAACTTGGGTGGTTATACTCATCTCAAGAACCTCTATTCATAGCGGTGACTTGTAAAGACTTACCCTACAAATTTGAGTCTTCCGCTCAAAAGATATAAGAAATGATAAACATTCTCTCACTCATAAGAGACTCACATCTCTTTTACTTGGTTAGGTGACCTCCTCTTCAACTTGAGGTGGTTATTTTCATCACAAGAACCTTTATTTATAGTAGTGGTGATGACTTCAAAAGACTTTATGAATAAGCACTAATTAATTGCTCTTTACAATCCTAAGAGTCATCTCCTCTATAAATTATCACCAAACAGAAACCAAGTCACAATCATTTACATATCAATTAATATATCTCAAATTACTCACTTAATGATTGAAAATTTGAAATTGACATTCCCAACAGTATTTGTCAACATACTCCAAACATAAAATGAAGCTTTAGATAATTGGATGAGTTATAAATGCCCATAAATGAAAAAAAAAAATTCTAAGATCATTGTTCTATAACTATTAACCAACAAGGTTTGATCTTTATCGAGTCTTAGATAATAGATAAAGGAGGAACCCAGCATATTTTTTGTTTGAAGATTTAAAAATCAAAACAAACAAAAAATAGCACTCATTATTTCCCTGTCAGGAAGCTACCAGGTAAGGTGCGATGAACTGGCCTTCCAGCAGTTGTTGTATCATCATCAGATATATTCCTGGGCGAGTTATGCATAGATGACAAATTCTGATCCTCAGGAGGGGAGGATGGATCACTGTTTGCAATTGCAGAAGTGGGAGAAACAGTATTGCTAGCAATGGAGTTCGCAGCTGTCATAGATGCAAGGCTTTCTTCCCCTGCAGGAGCATCTTCCACATATGGCATATCTTGTTTCCTCTGATCAGAGGAGGATGGACCTTTCTCCTTCTCTATCCTTTTAGCTTCACCTTCAAGTTCCCGCAAACTGCTAGACCCATCTCTAGAAGCATCCTTGTGTTTTCGTTTAGATGCCTGTGCAAATATAATGGATTTAGTCACATTCTAGAGCCAAATTGACCATATTTATTGTGAAAGATTGTGAAAATTCTAGAAATAAAATTGGTGTACAAAGCCATGTTTATCGATCTTAGTTGTCACAGAATCCTACCAAATAATGGTCCTTTCCTCCGGCAGATTTTCGGCTCATTAGCGTGCTTGTAGCACTTGCAGAACTCAACTGTGGCAAACTACCTGCTTGCCGTGCTCGGGGTACACGAGGTACACGAGGCGAACTATTCAGTTCTTGATGCAAGAGCAGAGCAAGCTTACAACGAAAAAATAAAAGGATAAGTTAATAAACAAGAAAGAATATTCCATAGAGAAACTTCTTTGGAAGTTAATTAGAAAAATAGAAATCCAGCTCAGACCTCTTCGTCAGTCAGCAATGAATTTGTTATTGGGGAAGGATTCACTGATGACCCATGACTTTGGGTCAACTTTGAGGAAGTGTGGATGTTAGTTTGGTTTGAAATCTTATTCTGCACTTGTAAAACCTTCTGATGGTGCAAAGATGCATTAGAATCACTAGAGCCTAAGATATTTGCAGTCTGATGTGTCAATGGTTTAGAAGACGAAACATGAACAGAATCTCTCACGTCTGGAATGACTTGCTTTGAGACAGAATTTGGCACACTCCTGCTTGAATGCAATCCTTTTGAATTGGAATTCAAAGAAGATTTTGGTCGCTCTCTTACAGACTTCTTTGGATTGTCATCCCTGGCAGCATTATTTGTACAAGTTTCATTCTTTATGTGAATGTTACCATCAGTCATCACTCCATGCTTCGTAAAAGATTTAGGGGTTTCAGTATCTTCAGATTTGATGTCATGATCCAATCGTCTAGAGTTCGTGGTTGACAAAGTTGGAGATGATTTTCCAACACATGCTAACACTTTAGGCAGACATCCAGGTGCTTCAGATTTTGATGGATCTTTAACAGCATCTGAACTATCTTTGGTTTCTGAAAATCCCTTTTGTGTTTCCAAGGAACCTTCAGACCCCTCCAGTTCTTGTTTTCTATGACAAAAATCACCAGATAATTCATTGGGCTTATTGGTATGATCAGCAGGGATTACATCTGATGAAATGTCAACACTACCCACCTTATTTTCACATGATAGTAAACAGGGAACTGGAGCATCATTCACTTTAACAGTATCAGATGTGTCATCAGATGATTTTTCATTGCTTTTAAGATCACTGACAGGAGAAGAATGAAAATTTGGGGGCTTTCTAAACTTATCAACATCATCCTCTCTCTTCACCTTAACTTTGCATTTTGCAGAGCTAGAACCCATGTTACAGTCATGATCTTGAGAAACTTGGATATCCATAAGTTCTGGTGTAGAACCACAATGACCTTCTGTATGAGGACTCACAGCACTTCTTACTACTAAAGTATCATCTACATTATCAGATGCCAAGCAATCTCCATCCTTGTTTATAAAAACAAGAAATGTCATTAAAATGCAGTGTAATATCAAGTCTAAAGGCATTCAAGGCAAAATATCCATAAAATTATGCATGTACAAATTTAGTAAAAATAAAAATACCTTGAATGGTTAAAAATAAAATCTTCAGACACTAGAAAATAATCTACAGGCTCCCAAGAAGAAAATTTAAGTATCCCATATTTAGGCAATATTACAAGCTTGAGTATCTACAAAGCAGATGCCCTCTTCGGGGGGGAGATAAAGTCCTAGCATTTTCAGTAAGTACTCAGGAAATAATAAGAAGTTTTCTCAAATTTTACTTTCTTAAACCCAGAAACAAGTAGTATGCTATAATATAAGAACCTAGCAGAGCATAACCAATGTTGATGCAACCATATTAAATATGGAATGGGCACAAACAGGTTCACTAATTGACACATGATAATCACAAAACATAGATTTCCTTTGCCAATCTTTAATTATGGCAGTGTCAGTAATACACACCTTTTCTTTAGCTGAAGCATTTCCAACATAATTATGCTTTAAAGCCGATGTAACAGCATCATCAGTCTTAGAAGACATCTCCGCCAAAGTAGGAGCTTTATGACTAGCCTTCTCTTCTGCTACTACATCTCCAACAGAAAGACTAGGTCTAGACATGACAGGATTTAACGGTTCTGAAGAGTCCTCAGTAGTTGTCAAGTTGTTATTTGGCTCCTCCACGACAGTATCCACAGGTAAATAATCATCAGAAACATGTTCTTGAGCCGCTATGTCTTTTAAGTTTTTGTTCTTTATGCTCCGAGCATCAGCCTTGAAAACCTTCGGACCTCTGTCCCCATAAAAGTCCAATTGTTTTCCCTCACCTGTGGAATCAGGAAAATAAATAAATAAAAGATGGAATCAACAAGAGCAAGATGTAAAACACACCATAGTCAATGATGTTTGCTTGTGGCCGCATAATGAAACAAAAACAAATATAACTTTTTCAACCAGCAATTCAATAGCAGTAACAAGAGGGAATTACTGAACACAGATCTTGATGAAGATATGGACATTGGACAATAGGGAAAAATCAATATAAAGGCTTTAAAAAACAGGCTGCAACGACAATTGCAACCGGGTTTTCAGGGTCGTTGACTGTGTAACCGCATTTGCAGTCACATCAGTCCACAATATCAGGTACCACTACTGTTTGCTCATGGACACATAATGAAACAAAAACCTATATAACTCCTTCCATTTAATAACATTACCAAGAGGGAATCACTGAACAAAGATCTCCATGAAGATATGAACATTGGACAACTATGAAAAATCAACACGAAGGTTTTAAAAACTAGTCCATAACCACAATTGCAGCCGGGTTTTCGGTCTCTATAACCGCAATTGCAGCCGGGTTTTGGGTCTCTATAACCGCAATTGCAGCCACATCAGTCCACAATATCATGTATCACAACAAAACCACTTACAATTCTCCAATATAACAGCAACAAATAGCAGAGCAGATAAAAAAAGGAAAAAAGAGTGGCGTGACTGAAATAACCTGTTTTAGAAGAATGCTGAGTTCTCCTCTTGGGATCCGCCTCTCTGTCAGAGGAAGTCCTGGACCGCTTCTTCCCACTCCGGTCTTTGGAATTCGAAGCCCCGGAATCCTCCTTCCGGCGCTTGCTGTTATGAACAACCGGAGGCCTCAGCATAGCCCTCTCCTTCTTCACGGAACTGTGGACACGTGGCAGCGTATCCCCGCTCCCAAACTTGCCCGAGTCCAAATCCTTACCATGGCCAGATCTAGAATCTACCAAAGCCTCCACAGGTGAGTCCAATACAGGAGGAGCAGTATTCGCAGTGTCTTTGGCCAGAGACACAAGAGCCCCAGCCTCAGCCTCAGCCTCAGCCTCAGCCACATTATCATTATTATAATCCCGTTCTTGCACTTGTGGCTGTGCTAGAGAACCCTCTTGATCACCCTCTTTATCTTTATCGTTATCGTTATCAACGTTATCAGCGTTATCAACGTTATCACTATCGCTATCACCCCAGAAAGGGAACTCTCTGTACTGAAAATTGAACTTCTTAGGAACATACCCGGAGGCTTTCCACAGCTGAGGAGAGAAGATCGAGGAGGTGGAAGTGTTGGCGAATAGTGAAGGCTCGCCAGCGGGTGGGCCTTGGACATGGACCCGCTCCTCAATGGGCTTCTCCGTCCACAGCCTGGGCCGAGAGGGGAGGGCCTTCTTGTTATCGATCGATATCGTCTTCGTTGGGAGCTCAACCAGGAACTGCGCGAGCTCGTTCTCCTCGATGTTCGTGTGGTGCTTCGCCTTGCACTTGTCGCACGCGAAGGTGTCGTCGCCCTTGACGTAGCGCGAGCAGCGCGTGTGGACCCACACGCCGCACTCGTCGCACTTAACCATTTCCTCTCCGTCGTCGAACGTGACGCCGCAGATGCAGTCCACGGTCCACGAGCCGTCCACCCACTCGTCCGGCGGGTCCGAGCTCTGAGGGCGGTGCGATCGCCCGCCTTTCATCGTCGCGGCGGAGGAGGAAACGGAGCCGGAAGCGGCGGTGACGGCGCTAGACGGCGAGGGTTTTCGGATTGGTAGGTGCGACCAGAGACTCTGCTCTCGCCAGAGGAAACATGTGACGCGGAGAGAGATGGCAAGGGTGGAGAAGAGAATGAATCGGAACTAATATCCGGTTCTGATGTGGTGCATTTGATTTGGATCCAATTCGACTGTTCAACCCGACCCGGTGGGTGTTGTGTGACCCGAATCCATAACCGAATTGTTGTTGCGGTTATTGGATCGGGCATCCGATTCCATGCCCTTGTTGGCCATGATGGAAACTCTCCAAAAATATTATACACAAAAATGTAATTTTTTGGGGGTTTTTTATGAGGAAAGGATAGGCAGAAATGGGCTCGTTTTTGGGTTTTTTTTTTTTTTTTTTTTTTTTTTTTTTTTTTTTTTTATGAAGCAAAGATACAGAAAAAGGAGTTTTTTGTTGTTTTATTGAACTAATAAGGTACTGGTGTGTTTTCATGGAATACAGGCTGATATTTTTCCATTATCAGAGTTTCACTTTCCTTTTTCTAATGAAGATGGTGATAGTCGAAAGATCGGGAAAGTTTTGTACTGACTGAAGCAATGATATGGTGATTCTTTGCTTCTTGGTAGGGAATGTGTGATGGTTTGGGAAGTTAAACGGAAGATGTCTAATAAATAGTCATCAACAAAGTGGGTGATCGTTGGGTTAAGTTTTTTCACAAAAATTAATTATTAACAAAATCAGCAAATATTTTATGATTATCCTAAAAAATCATATAAAGGATAATTTTGCTAACTTGAATAATTAAAACTAAAATATGGTAATTTGACTCTTTATAATTAATAATGATTAAGTGAGTAATATCGATCATTGATTGAAAAAAAAAAATCAATAATATTCCAATACATGTATGATTTATTGTGCATGGACATATAATACCAACTGTTAATTTTCTCATCAATGACTAAATTATTTATTTTACTTTCTAAAGTAAATTGTTCATACTTAAAGAATTGAAGAAAAAAAATCTACATCAATTGAAATAGTTTTGAAAAATTTAGAATTAAGTGAAAAATAAAACCAAATTAGTTTGTGTTTTATGTTTCTCAAAAGTTAAATCATGTTAAAAAAAACAAACAAACAAACAGGTGATTCATACATAAAACATAATATTTTTCATTAAAAAAACCCAAGTGATTCATATGTAAAACATAATATTTTCATTAAAAAAATGTGGATTGAAATAGGGAGGTTTTTAGGATTTTTTTTTGTGCATGTTTTTAGAAAATAAAGATGAATTTTTACATAATTTGATTTCTTAAATGTGATTTGGGTTTGACGTGTCACTAATATATAAAATTGATTTTCAATTTTTGTGTATACAAACTTTATTATTATTTTACTCTTATAAGTTATAAGTTATAATCACCTCTAATTCATCTCAAACCTAATCCTCTAATTGTTTTATCTATTATTTTTTCTTTTAAAAAAAATATAGAAAAACACAAAATGTTTTTCTTTTATACTAGTTAACATAATGCATGATATTGATGTGGTGGATGGTATGAATTTTAGATACTTAATTCAACATTAACCTTATATGTGAATAATTGTATTTTATAACTCATAAGGTGTCAAATTAAAGTGATTTGATATAAATTTTTTGAAAAATTATAAATTTGAAAGAATATAAGACCTTTAATGTGAAATAGTTGAAGAGTAATTCTATTTTGCATGGGTAAATATAAAATAAAATAAAAAATAAAAAAACAAACAAACAAACAATCAAAAGGTAATCTTGTGATTGTTTATAATTAAGTTACGTCCTCATATTACAATACATTTTTTTTTGACATCTCATTATTAGAAAGAAATAGATATATAATTAAAAAGTTATTTCAAGATAGTATATGTTAATCTAGAAAGTCAAACCATATTGTTCACTTGTCATTGTGAGTTTAGATAATCTTCTACTTATAATTTATAAAGATTAACATGATAGATTGTGAATTATATAGATAATAGTTTTCATCAATAGTTTAAGTTTAATTTTAACAACGGTGTCCGATCTTTATCATGTTTGATCATTAAGAATTTTTGGTCAAGTTTCTTCGTTATTAAATTATACATATTTACCATGTACCTTTAGTTTAAAAAAATCAATGTATATGTTGACCGCTAGAGAAAAGTTTTTTACTTTGAACGATAAAATAAATTTTGATTATCGATATGATTGATTTGATTTATATGGATGAGAGTATAATATGATATATTTATTTTTAATTCAATCTATTTCAACCAATCTTCGTAATCATATTATTTTGATTATCATAATTTTTAATTGAGTTACTATTTCTTTATTTTTTCTCTTTTATACTCGATGAATCATGAGTTTAATCTTTCATGAAATCAATTATGTATTCAATTAGTTGTAAAGTAAAAAAAAAAATGTTTATTATATTATTATTATTATTATTTATTTTAATTGATTTTATAATTAATATAATATAATTGTATAACTATTGTGAATCAATGGACATATAAAATTAAAGGTCGATACTTATTACAAATTATGTAATAAATTGTTGATTCTTTAATTTATTATATATTAAATCTGGTTACTAATTTTATATATAGCTTGGTTGATTGTCCTTTAAAAAACAATTTCCTTTCAATTTTATGATATTTGTGTTTCATAAAAAAAATCCAATAATTATATATGTTAAATTGCATTCGATTTTAATTTTTCAAATATTGAAAAAGTATATATATATATATATATATATATTTTTTTTTTTTAGATTAATTAGTTGAAACATGTCACTAAATTAACTTTTGTGGAAATTAATTTATTTTAAAATATAAAAGGTTATGATCTTGCAACTTATGTAGGTACTAGTTGACTTAAAAGAAGACTAATATTTTACATAATTACTTGTGCACTTGTGATGATAAATGTGTAATAATTATTCAATTTTGCGTGTGAATAATAAATCAAACTCATAAGAAGGTTTATTATTTGACATGTTCTTATTATTGCATCAAGATATCATTAAATAGTCAAAATTTTATCCAAAGATTAAATATTTATGTATTATCTATATATATGTATTTGAATTTGATTTTTATCTATTGTATTTTGAGATTTATATGAGTGTATCTTGTTTGTTGTTCTTAATTCAGTTATGAATGATCCTACAAATATTATTGTCAATGACAACTCTATTCATGTATTGAATAACTCAAACTTCAAGTCCTAAAAAAATAATATCTTGATAGTCCTTGTAGTAATGAATCTCAACCTTACGTTCAAATTAGACTTACCTTCACCTTTTACAGATACGAACACCTCTAAAAATAAGAGAAAAGTGAAAATGTGGGAGAAGTCAAATTGCATGAGTTTGATGATCATGAAGAAGGTCATTCTGAAAGCATTCTAAAGCACAATATCTGGAAACATAAATATAGTCAAGGAGTTTTTTTTGTAGAAATTGAAAAGAGGTTTGTTAAGAATGAAAAGTCTGAGATAGGTACACGATTGGAAAACCTAATTTCAATGAAGTATATGGGTAAGGGCAACATTAAAAAGTACATCATGGATACGTTTCATATTGCTTCAAAACTATAAGCATGTAGTATATAACTCTCTAACTTATTAGTGCATTTAGTTATGATACATCTTCCAACATAATTTAGTTAGTTTAAGATGAGCAATAATTGTCAAAAAAAAAAACTTAGTCTCTGAATAAGTTCATCTCACATTGTGTTCAGGAAGAGGAAAAATTGAAGCAAGATGAGACAAAAAGTGTTCATATAGTCTTTACCTTAAAAAATAAAGGCAAGGGACTAAAAAAAAGAGGATAAGGAAGATGTAATTACAACACCTCAAAAGAAACAACAAAATAAATCAAATGAATATGAAGAAACAATGGTTTTTCTTTTGCTGAGCTATAAGGTATGTGAATAAGCATTGCACTAATTACCAAACATGGCGTGCTAAGAAAGGTATGCTTATTAACTTAGTTTTTTTTCTTAGGTTAATTTAACTTTTGTACCTAGAGATACATGGTGGATAGATTTTGGTGTCATAACTTACATTAGTATGTCTATACAAAGTTGTCTAAGTTGTTGAAAACCAAATGATGGTGAAAAATAACCCATGTAAGTAACGACAATATAGTTCAGGTTGAGGCAATTGAGAAATCTAAATTATTGTTTAAAATTAGTTTTTATTTAGATTTTGATGAAACATTTATTGTATCGTCTTTTAGACAAAACTTGTTTTTTATTTCTGCTTTGGACAAATTTGGTTAGTTTTGTTCATTTGAGGGTGGAAAATTTGGTTTGTTTCATAATTCAAATTTGGTTGGTTATGATTATTTATCAGATTATGATAATCTTTATTTAATTAGTGCATTTGTTTCATTTGATGAATTTTTACAATTAAGTACTTTGGGCATAAAGAAGAAATTAACCAATGAGAATTCAATTGCATTATGACACAAACAATTAGGTCACATCTCCAAATGGAGAATATAAAGACTTGTGTCAGACAAAATTCTAAACCTTTTAGATTTTATAGATTTTGATATTTGTAACAAATGTATGAAGGGGGAAAGAAATAAACAAAATGAGACTTGAGGCCAATAGGACTTTAGATGTCTTAGAACTTATACATACAAATGTTTGTGGACCGTTTCCTACGGTTGCATGGAATGATCAACAAAATTTTATAACACTAATAGACAACTTTTTGAGATATGACTACATTTATCTCGTCCATGAAAAAGCAAAGTCATTATAAATGTTAAAAAACTATAAGGCTAAAGTTGAAAACTAACTTAACAAAAGAATTAAAAGTGTCAGGTTTAATCGTGGTGGTGAATACTATGCTAGATATGAAGGTTCAAGTGAACAACGTCCCAAACTATTTGCTAAATTCTAAGAGGAATGTGGTATCATCCCATAATATATTATATTGAGTTCGATTACCATGAATGATGTTGCTAAAAGATGAAATAGAGTGCTAAAAGACACGGTAAGGAGTATGATTAGTCATTTTACTTTACTAACATCACTTTAGGGATAAGCCCTTAAAACTGTAACACCCTTAATAGGGTTTAAACAAAAGTAATTGAAAAAACACCTTACAAACTTTGGATAGGCAAAAAGCCTGATTCAAAACAATTACATGTTTAGGATTGTCCAGTTTTAGCAAGGCCTTATAGGTTAAATGAAAATAAATCAGACTCATGGTGTATAAGTTGCATTGTGTTGGATACTTTGAAAGATCCAGGGGTCAAAATTTCATGATCCCACAACTAAGTCGATTTTTGAATCAAGAAATGTTTAATTTTTTTAGGGTGTTGATTTTGCAAAGGGAGATATAGTTAAAAAAACATTATCTTTGAAGAGAAATATGTTTATATTCCCACAAGTGTTATTGGCATTATTTAGGATTCTCTTTCTCACTTTGATTAAGACACAATAAATAAAGATAAGGTCAAACCCCTCGTGTAACAAATTGTCATAGAAGAACAATTTTTTTCTCCTCATGAACCTATGCCATTAAGGAAAATCACTAAAGAAAAGAGAAATACAATACTAAATGACTATGTTATGTTTTTCATCAACCATTTTTGAAAACTCATCAGAATCACCAATATTAATATACAAATTCTTCAAATTTTTCGTACAATTACCACACGATTGAAGTTATTTTTGTTACAAATATTTTAGAGTATAAACTAATAATAATTTTATAATAATTTAAATAATTAATTAAAAAGTATTTAAGTATTATAATACTTTTTGATTTGTACACAAATGAGCCATATGAAATGATTATTCATAATAGCAATCAACCATTTTCTCTTTCATTTTTTTTATATCTATTTTTATGTCATTTCTTCTTTCAACATCATTTTAGGTTTTATTTTCTCTGCTTTTCATTTTTCTTCGTCTCAAAATAAGTGAAGAGACCGATTAGAACTAAATTCACACCTATCTATAAAAAAAGTAAATGTTTTCATATAAAAATAAGAATTATAGTTTTCATATAAATAAATGTGTTTAAAATGGACGGAGAGATTTATCACAATTGTATTTACACCCCCATAATTATATGCATTTAATTATTATCTTAAATGTATTTCTATATTAAGAGTATTAAATAAAATTAAGTTAGTTAAAATTTATTTATATTTTAATTAAAATTTAACAATTTTTTTTTTCATGAGGACAGGTACTTTTAACATTGAATCAATAACTAATTAAAAGATTTTTTTTTTTTACCTAAATCGGAAATTCTGAAATCAATAATTAGTAAAAGTTTTTTTAAAAAGATACCGTGCTCGTGCAAAGTTGCTACATCGGTAAGAACTAAACTTGAAGCTGAGGAAATATAAGAGAGAGAGAGTGGGAGAGAAGCGGTAGTTGAAAAGACGGTAAAGGTTTGTGCAGTGGGATCATTTCGTTACATTGCACATTACCTTCCCTGTGCTTATCGCGCTTCCTGCAATCTAGGGTTCTTAGAATATACTGTATCGTGTCTTAAGCTTTACGTCTTTTCTGTTAGATTTCTCCGTCACTGTTCTTCCATTTCGATCTGTTCAATTCAGGTACTTGCCGTGCTGCAATCATCTTCTTCTTATTCTTCACTTCCCTTGCTTTTTGAATCTTGTGTTCAATTTAACGCTGATTTGAGCTTTAACACTGTGCTAATATCCACGATTTAGGGCTTTATTCGAGATCTTCATTGTTCTTCGCGTCGATAAAATCCACCATGACAATCGCCGATTCAGTTTTTCCGATGGATAGCGTGGCCAGTTGCATACAGCTTCCACCGGAGGAGGAAAATCGGATCGTGTCGGAATTGATAAAGGAATCGGAGCTTAATTTGAAAGATGGCAACGTATACTTCGTTATTTCTAACAGGTCTTAATCTTATATCGTTTATTTTCTTTTAATTTTAACGAATCTATGCTATGTTATGCTATACTGTGTTACGCGTGATGGTTTGAGATATAATCAATTTATTATCGTGTGAGAAATTATGTTGATTGGCGCCTGTGCGTCCTGGTCAGCGGACTTCTTATGCAATCGATTAATTTGTGTCTCTATCGTGGAGCGAATGGATCGTGTGTTGTGCCTAGTGCCTAGACATGCATACGCTTGTATGTTTGCTCCGATGTATCTTTTTTTTTTTTTTCTCCCTCCCTAAAAATTGCTAGGCTAGCTCTTTTAAAAGTCTTATTCGGGAGTTGCCATGGGTCTGTAAAGGTAACGTTACTACACCTGAGAGTTAGATGAGTTAAATATTTGTTGATTATTGCTGGTATCATCGTATTCAATCCCAAATAGTGGCGGGGAGTGGCAACCTATAAAGCGCCATGCAAGGATAGCTGCTATTTTGAGCCCTTAACCCTCATTAGTACTCAAGGCTGATTATTGGGCGGAGATTGTAATGGATGCTGGTCATTGTTGTTTCAAGGCTGGAGATTAGCCAGAAACTATAACAGATTGGCCAGAGATTGAGCAGAGAAGAAAGAAGTGGTCAGAGAAGTGTAAAAGACGCTGGATGCTGAAGATTGGCCAGAAAAGAGGTGTGCAAAATAGTTTGGGAGCCAGGCTAAGACTAGGGCAGCAGTGTGTGAAGGTGATTGGAGCTGCTACCAACGGAGGACGAGTGCAGAATACAGTGGGAGCATGGTTAGGGCTTGAGCATGAAGATGTTGAGAAAAGAAGGGTATAAACAAAAATAACTAAAATTTAAAGGGTTTGGTGTTTTACGAGTTTGCCCCTCCCCAAAAAAAATGCATGAAATGACATTGATTTGGGGGCCAAAAGGTCTTCAGATGCATCTAACCCAGTAGCCCATGACGCCTGTAAAATGCTGTGATCTCGGCTGTGAATTGCGCTGCCCTACCAGTGACTGTCAGGTGTGATGCAACAGTGAAGAAAGGAGCAAGGTGGTCCTGCAATGTGCTGTGATGGTGCAATGGTGTCTCTATCATCGACTTCTTATTATGCCTTAGTTTGATGTTGATTGTGTGTCTGCCTTTTAATTATTAATGATGGTAATCAGGATATATATATTTTATTTTTGGTAATATTTTATTTTTATTTTTTATATTTGAGCATGTATAATTATCCTGCTATCTGGGATTGACAATTACCATCCTTTATAAATCACATGATGTTTTTCCATCTACATTATTGGCGTACAGATTGTTCTATTAAAAGTATTAATACATATCTGTGCATTTTGGAATTGCATCCTAATCCTGCAATAAATCTCAACAACCAACTCTTAACAGTGGTTAAATGGACTAATTTATTTGTGTTTTTTCACCCAAAGACTTTTTTTAATTAAAAATGTAAAAAAAAGAATTCAGATAGTTTTTTTTTTAAGTTAAAACCTTTTAAAAGAACAGTTTTATTGCATGTCTCATTCAACTTATTTTGGAGAAATAATCACTTAATTTTGTCATTTTTTTGTAACATTTGAAAAAGAAGCGACTATTTCTCCTAAAAAAATATCAGCCATACATGCCCTTAGTGCTTTTCCCTTAAGCTAGAATGAGTAGTTTCTGAAAAAGCAATGAAAAAAGCTATATGATAAAGTTATTTTGCCAAAATCTTATCTAAATGCAACCTGTATTGTTTTATTTTTCATATATATATATATATATATATATTAAATCATGGTTTTTTGCCATCCATGCAGGTGGTTTTCAAGGTGGCAGAGTTATGTTGGTTCTTGTGTTGGTATGCTTTCAATCGACAAGCAATCTTCTGATGGCCAGGATGCTGAAATGACTCACACAAAGATTGCAGATAGACCTGGGCCTATTGATAATTCTGATATTATTTCAAAGGGAAATAACTATGACAGCAATAATTTAGACATTCATCGAATGTTGGAAGAGGGTGCAGACTATGTTTTAGTTCCTGAAAAAGTGTGGGAAAGGCTGTTGGAATGGTAAATTTATTATATAAATGTTGTTGCTTTTTAATTTGGAGAAATGAATGATTTAGTGATTTGTAGTTTAAGATATGCATAAATTATATTGCATCTGTTTTCTTTGAAGAGAGAGCCATAAAACCATTTTAGATGTATTTGATTGAGTAAACAATGAGCAATTTTGGAAACAGATTTAGGGTGTGTTTGGAAACCAGTTGAGTTCACACTCAAGTGGGGTTTAAAAAAAAAAGTTACAGACAAACTTTTGCTTCTTCTGTATTGGAACATGTGTTTTTCCATTGAATATGGTTTTAAACTGGTATCTAAACATACACTTGGTACCACAAATTAAGTTTCAGGAAGCAATTTCCTAACAGCTTATATGGACTGGGTTTGGAATATAGTGAAAGAAAAGCCCAAAAGATGTTTAATTTTAAAAGTTTCCCCCTGAATCCTGATAGACAATATACTTTGGTTTTTGCCGAACTTTTTAAATGTCTAAGTTTAGTAATAAAAATTTGAAGCTAACCGATGTGTGGATTATGGAAACCTCTTCGAATTTGGGCATGGAAAAGGGCATGACATTAATTCAACATGTCATAAGACAGCATAGATGCTTGATTTGTGCAGTGTGTAAATAGATTTCTGTCTCCCTATTGTCTAGGTACAAAGGTGGACCAGCATTGCCAAGGAAGTTAATTTCTCAGGGTCTTGAACATAAGCAATACAGTGTTGAGGTTTACCCACTCAGTCTAAAGGTGATCGATGCAAGAGATAACAGTCAGTCAATTGTAAAATTAAGCAAAAAGGTACCTATTGATTTCATTACAGACTCTTTTGTTCTACTTAGCTTTGCAGTAATGCCAATGCTTAGAAAAGGGGCCACTTTATCTATTTGTATGCACTGAATGATTGACTGACCTTTGATTATCACCACAAAAAAGTGATTATACTAATTACTTAGTATAAATGTTAATACTACGGCAGTATGACTATATTTCAAAATAATCAATTTTTATTTCATGTAATTTTATTTTTAAATAAGGTCATCAAAATATGGATTTCATGTGGAATAAGTGAAATGGGATATTGATATGTTTTTTCTGATTAGTTGAGGAATGAATGACCATAAAATTTTTAAGTGGACTTTAAAATTGTAAGTGCAAACCATACAATTAAAAGATAACATGTACATGGGTATACTGGTGTCTTGACACACTGCTAATAATCTGGATTGGGACTATATTTGGTTTTAACATGCTATAATTTGATGATTGAATTTGAATGAAGCATCATTCTGATTATTGCTTTTCTATTGCTGTAATATATTTTAGGCGACCATAGGTGAACTTCATGAGCAGGTGTGCAAGATTAAAGGAGTAGAACAAAGCAAGGTGCTGCCCTTCCTCCCTTATTTGGTTGTTTTTATTTTTTCATTTGTTATAAAATCTCACAATTCTTCTGTCTTTTTCCTTTTTTGTTGGTTTGGCTGTCAATTAAATTATAGGCCTGCATTTGGGATTACTTCAATTTCAAAAAGCATTCATTGCTGACGATCTCTGACCAGACATTGGAGGAAGCAAACTTGACAATGGACCAAGATGTGAGTAACCTTGAGTTGTATATATCTTTAATTTGAATTGATTTCAAGCTGGAAGTAGATCTCCAAATCTTTAATAAGACCTTTTGCCTACAAAGTGGGTATTATGAAGTGCTGTAAATGTGGTTTTCCATTAGAAGGAACTTATGTCCAATATTTGGTAATGTGGCTATCTTTAAATAGAGACATGAGCTGAATATTCTATTTGCATTTTTCTAAATTTATTACGAAGACATCCTTAGTTTTTGCTTGGTATTGGTTCATTGTCTATAGAAGCTTGATGCTCCTGATTCATCTCTTGCTCACAGATTCTTCTAGAAGTATCACTTGAGAGAGATCCCTCTTCTCATTCTGGCATGGATTCAATGGGAAATGAATTGGCTTTGGTACCATTAGAACCTACAAGGTCATCTGTGTCAATTGCTGGGGGACCTACCATGTCAAATGGTCACTCAACTGGGTCTAGTTTTAATTCGTATCAGGGAAGCTCTGTTAGTTCATCATTGACCAATATGGATGATAAATGTGAAGTCAATAGAGGTGAAAGGGGTGGTTTGGCTGGACTGCAGAACTTGGGGAATACCTGTTTCATGAACAGTTCTATTCAATGTTTAGTCCACACTCCACAACTTGTTGAATATTTCTTACAAGACTACAGTGAAGAAATCAACATGGACAATCCTTTAGGGATGCATGTATGTGATCATTTCCATTGGCTTGATGGCTTATTTTGAAGGCAATTTAAATTAATTTTGATAATGTAACATGTATCTGATATGCAGGGTGAGTTAGCACTTGCATTTGGTGACTTGTTGAGGAAACTGTGGTCCTCAGGGCGAACTGCTATTGCACCCCGTTCATTCAAGAGCAAATTGGCCCGATTTGCTCCACAATTCAGTGGTTATAACCAGCATGATTCTCAGGTTAGTTTATGCAAATTGTCAAAGTTCCTAATTTTGAAATTATTGTCAAGTTAATAAACACAAGTGCTGTTATTACTCATTACTTAAGACAGAAAATTGTCACCTTGTACAACATTTAGACAACTTTAGGCTTTCTTCCACCGATCTTTCTGTAATTTGAAACACCTTCTATCTACCATCCATTGTTTCCGCGGATAATGTAACAACGTAGTTGGTCATCTGTTTCAACCCCCAGTTGAGAATTGAGATTGAGAGTATCACAGTTAGTTTTATGTTTTCTTATGCAATCTATCTTTTGTTTAACTTGCATTTACAGATGTAATGTAACAATCGTGTCCTTGAGAGCTTAGTTTGTGTTAAATTTGGACTTGAGAAAACTTGATGATTGCTTGAATTTCTTCTTGTGGCAGTTTTTGGTTATTGTAAAATTAATCTTCACTAAATTTTAAAAGTCATTGAACTTGTGCCTTTTTATGATTGTTGTATGTTCTGAGTAGTGGATTTCTTTCTTTAGGAATTGCTTGCTTTTTTATTGGATGGACTGCATGAAGATTTGAATCGTGTGAAACAAAAGCCTTACATTGAAATGAAGGACTCGGATGGTAGGCCAGATGAGGAAGTTGCATCTGAGTGTTGGAAAAATCATATGGCTCGGAATGATTCATTGATTGTTGATGTATGCCAGGTGAGTATATGTTCATGTCATTTCCTAGACACTTATTGCATGGATTATAATTGACCTGCCATTGCTAAGCTTAGTAGTTAAATGCTTAAATTTCTGCCTTATTGTCTCTGGTTCCCTCCACCCTTTTACACAAAAAATGGGAAAAGAGAAGAACCTCTAGTTATGAATTACTTGCTATATTTATATTTGTTTTACTCTAGTTAATTTTAGTTTACAATTTGTTTATATGCTTTCTTGAGTTTTTTCCCCTACTCAATAAGCCTTCTCTAATTTCTATCATTTTTGAACTTGATTTTCTATAAAAGCTTGACAAGATGGAGTTTTTCACTTTTAAGTTCAGTCTGTTATCTGTACTAAGCATGATATTTTGATTTTTCTACAATAAAATGGTCAGGGTCAATACAAGTCAACATTGGTTTGTCCGGTATGTGGCAAAATTTCAATCACTTTTGATCCTTTCATGTACTTATCGTTACCACTGCCTTCCACTGTCACTCGCATGATGACAGTAACTGTCTTTTATTGTGACGGGAGTGGCCTTCCCATGCCATACACCGTGTCAGTTCTGAAGCATGGCTGCTGTAGAGATCTTTGCCAAGTATTAGGCACTGCGTGCTGCTTGAAGAGTGATGAAATGCTTTTGCTTGCAGAGGTAAGTGCTTCTCATAAAAGTTGCTTCTTCTTGGCATTGATTCTGGTGGTTGATGGTTTATATGTCTATCTCTTAGGTTTATGAGCATAAGATTTATCGATATCTAGAGAATCCGTTGGAACCATTGAGTTCAATAAAGGATGATGAACATATTGTGGCCTATCGAGTCAAAAGTGGAGCCAGAAAAAAGAAACTTGAAATAATGCATCGATGGCTAGATAAGTAAGTTTACCTCTTTTGGTGTGTGCTGTACGATATACTCTTTACAGTGAAAATGTTCTGATAAGTCATGGTTGCCTATATACAAGTTTTTATTTTTTGTGTCTAAGATGACATTATAGTGGTTTTCATCCTTAACGGTGTGTTTGGATGTAGGGTTCTGAGAGAGGAATTCTTTTTAAGCAGATTTAAAATATCACATACCAAACTAACTTGTTTGGATATCAAATCCAAAGAATCTTCAAAATCATAGGATTTTTTTTCGTAAATTGGAGGGATTTCAAATAATATATAAAATGAAAGATTTCGGGTATACCTTTTCCTTTTCAAAGTATCACTATCAACTCTTACATCTCAAAGCTTTGGTCGCACTGTATCTCTACCTTTCCCCCTCTCTTCGGGGCCTCTCTTTTTCTCTCCCACTCCCTGAGTCTCTCTTCTGCAACTCTCTCTCTCTCCCTCTCCCTCTCCCTTGTCTCTCTTCACACCTCTCTCTCCCCTTCTCCCTCTCTTCCTCCCTCCCTCTCATTTGTCTCTCCTCCTCCTCTCTCACTCTCCCCCCTATCCCTTTTGCACCTCTCTTTCTCTTTCCATCTCCCCTATCTCTCCTGCACATCTGCACCTATCTCTTACCCTCTTTCTTCCACACCTCTCCTTCTCTTTACGCTCCTTCTGTACTCCTCTCCCTCTTTTTCACATCTCCTTCCCTCCTTCTCCGTCTCTGTTTCTCTGAAACGCATTTTTCTAAAATAATTATTTAAAATGGAATTTTACATATGATGGAAATTAAATTACTTTATCCAAACAAATAATTTTAAATACAAGGTTTCCCTCTCCCCTATCTCTCCTGCACATCTGCACCTATCTCTTACCCTCTTTCTTCCACACCTCTCCTTCTCTTTACGCTCCTTCTGTACTCCTCTCCCTCTTTTTCACATCTCCTTCCCTCCTTCTCCGTCTCTGTTTCTCTGAAACGCATTTTTCTAAAATAATTATTTAAAATGGAATTTTACATATGATGGAAATTAAATTACTTTATCCAAACAAATAATTTTAAATACAAGGAATTTGAATTGCTTTATTCAAAACAAACTGTTTTAAAAATGAAAATGGTTTAATTGAAGCATTGAATATCCTTTCATTTCAAATTCCTTAGAATTTTTGCAAGTCTCTGTCCAAAAACACCCAAGTTTTTGGTAAATGTATTCTTAAGGTTCCCTTTTAACTGAAAGTATTCTTGTTGGTTAGTTGAATTTTGTCTTAACTTGTAAAATTTTTTGGTTAAATAGTTTTGTGCCCTTGAAAGTAGCAGATTGAGGATAGCTATTCTCCCAACTTATAGTAGTCACACTCTTCAACCACCCGTTTATCTCTTCTAGAGTACAAATGGCAATGAATAATCTAGAGATTGTTAATGGTGATTGATGCCATCCGTCTTTGAATGCATTCACTCTGCTGTGAAATTATTTTCTTATATTTTGTTTATGAACCAAACCACCTGAACATTTCCTATAATTTTTTTGGCACTTTGGTTAATTTCTCCGTTGTTGGGCGTTTCAAGTACCAGAGTCTTGTGCAGGTGCCATTCAAATTGGCACTCAGGGTATCACCACTATCACATATGAGTTAGGATAGTATACATAACTATTTGTGGCTTAGCATTAGGGAAATATGCCATAGCATGATTCCTCAACTGATTATAGAGATTTCACCAAATTGTTCCTGGTGCACTAACATAGAATATGATAATGCTTCAATTTCTTTATTACTGGTTGATTTGATTTTGAATTACCTTGATGCTTATTGGACAGTATGAAGGGTGGAGACAAGAAGCTCTTCGGAACCCCCTTGGTTACTTATTTGGTAGAAGATCCTCAATTCGGAGCCAACATTGAGGCATCTGTACATAAACTGCTGGCACCTTTAAGAAGAGCATATTCTTCAACTAAGTCTCATGATGGGAAGGAAAATGGTTTCATCTCATCTGGGAGTGAAGAGCAATCAAACATCTCCAATACTCAAAGTGAATCCCAGAGTCTAACATTTGGCAACAAAGAACAAGATGGAACATCATGTGGGGAGTCATCTTTCCAACTTGCTTTAACTAACGAAAATTGTTTGAGTTGTGAACCCATTGAGAAGTCTTCTTTTATAAAATCCAGCCAACTTATAAGAGTCTTTCTTGACTGGACTGAGAAAGAACATGAAGTATATGATGCTAGCTACCTGAGGGATCTCCCAGAAGTTCACAAAACCGTATTCACTGTGAAAAAAACCAAGCAAGAAGCTATTTCTTTGTTTTCTTGCTTGGAGGCATTCTTGACTGAAGAACCTCTAGGGCCAGATGACATGTGGTAAGATTGCTTTCATGTTTTTGAAATGGACTTGATACTAGACTACCGTGATTTTGTGCTTTGAAAAATAATGCTGCCTTATTTTTTTTTTTCTTCAAAATTAACTAGGTACTGCCCTAGATGCAAGGAACACAGACAAGCAACAAAGAAGCTTGACTTGTGGAAATTGCCAGAGATTCTTGTTTTTCACTTGAAACGATTCTCATATAGCAGATACCTGAAAAACAAACTTGACACTTTCGTGAATTTTCCCATTCACAATCTTGATTTAACCAAGTATGTTAAAAGCAAGGATGGACAATCCTATGTGTATGACCTTTATGCAGTCAGCAACCATTATGGTGGTCTAGGTGGTGGGCATTACACCGCATATTGCAAGGTAATCATGACATGCACCTACTGTGATGTCAGGTTTTGATTTTGTAATTTGTGAATTCTTTATGCTATTTTAGATGTTTCTGTTTTAAACCTTGTATTCAGTTGTTCTGCCAATTTTTGACAGTTGATCGATGACAATAAATGGTGCCATTTCGATGACAGTCATGTCACACCTGTTACTGAAGCTGAAATTAAATCTTCAGCTGCTTATGTTTTGTTTTATCAGAGAGTTAGAAGTAAAGGCCAAATGGAAGGAGAGGCATCTCAGCTTCATACAGTATAGACCATGATGGGGCATTTTGTTGCTTGATGCCTGGTTTACATGCTTAGCAGTTAGCACACAGCGGAGCTTATTTTACTTTGCATTGCAAAACTGCAAGGTAAAATGAGAGACAAAATGCTACCATTGCGTGACAGCAATTAAACAAAAATGTTTAGGCGAGGCTCTGGTAGAATCAGTTCTTAATCACTACATGAATGATATCATTTTTTGAATAGAGAAATTTTGGCAGCCTATGAACTTAAAAAAAAGATATTTCTGTTATTTCATTTCATCTGAGGTTAAAACAGATCAGCATGAATTCATCATAATTACTGTTTGACAGTTGTATGTAATTTTATCGTTCTAATAGGAGGGCGGCGCTTGTGTTTGTTAAAGAAATTGTGCCCTCCTTCCGTTAGTATGTTGTTAGGATTCTAGGACCCAGTAGGAGAAGAACAGCTCCTGATTATATTTATTTATTTTTTAAACAATATAGCTTGCCCCTGTCTCTTGTATTGTCTTTCTACATCTCTGGTGCATTTCCCAAAATGTGTGAATTAGCTGCACGGATCTTTTCGTTTGGAGTACTTTTCAATTGTGTTTTCTGTCTCTAGTTTGAGGTGCAAACAATGAGCTCTTGGAGTTCTTTTTAAGTATAGTCAATCAACCTCGATTGGGCGTCAGTTTGTGTTTCATTCTTGTTTTATGCGGTGTTTGCTTCCGTCAGCTTAGCAAGGTTTGCTTTGCTCAGCTGAAATTTATCTCGTCTTCAGTTAGAAGTCCCTGCAACCAGGCTGCCATTTTTGGGAGTTATATTTAAGAGGGAAAAGGAGCTTGGGACAATTTTGATTTCCAATAAATATTTTACACTTTGATAACTTTTGAATGAGATAAAAGAACAGATAAATTTATGTAAATTTAATATATTATTCATTTTTATAAATATTATATAACCATCTAAATTTAAAAATAGAAAAAGCTCTTTCCTTCGTCATCTCTCATTTCCGTGGTCCAGAATTTCGACATTAATTTAACTTTCCCAACCTAGTGTCAGGCTGGCCGGCCAGTGAGTGTAATGAGCAAAAGGCTAAGGAGAGGAACCATCCCGGCCCAAGAGGTTGGAGAACTTCCTGCGCCTTATAAGGTCTCCCTGGTAAGGAGACCTCCCCGATGTTACATTACCACCCCCTTCGAAAGCCAGCGTCCTCGATGGCTGCACTCCACGGTACTTCACTCGGCCCTTGCCGGTTAGAACCCTCCGGTGGTCAGAACCCTCCGTGTGTAGCCCTTCTCGATTTGGCTGGCTCTCAATGAAAGCACCATTTGTAACAAGCATAAGGCTAAGGAGGGGAACCATCCCTCAAAAGCCGGCCCAAGAGGTTGGAGAACCTCCCGCCTTATAAGGCTTCTTTGGTAAGGAGACCTCCCCGATGTGGGACTTGTTACAGTGAGGTTGGCTCCCTCCACCTTTCAAAGGTTTTGTTATTCCTACGAACGTTAGGTGTTTGCCTTCTATTGCTGTGTCGTCCTTATTTATTCAAGAAATTAAAATAATTGAATAATAATTTTCTGCCAAACGAAATAGGCATTATGATTCATGAACGAACCTTGGGAGATGGTTGCGTATGAGAACTGAATAGCACAAAATGTGACCGTAGCACATTATTAGAAATAATGTCTGACAAAAATACCAATGAAATCAAATTGTATCTAATCCTCTAATACATAAATTAGTCTCCTGGGGGTGGGGAGTGACAAGGCTGCCTGCTGAAGTCCACAACTACCTTTCCTTCCTAGACCAGTAAGCGACATCTCACTTTAAAGACGACGTGAACTCCCTACAAAGAGCAAAAGGAAACGGAAAAAGGGTTAACTTTCTTTATGCTGCCAACTAGCAAATGCCACCCAACCAAAAAGTGCGTGATGCTGTCCGTTTCCTAATGGCCACCTTTTTCAGACGCGTCGTTTTCCCCCCATAACGGTGCTAATAATGATATGTGACAAACTATGCAACAAATTACTACTTAAGATCGTCATTGTCAATCTTAAATGATCATTTGGGTACACAATTATTGCAACCAGCTACAAATAATTTAGATGTAATCTACAAATAAAAACTGTTTATTAGACGTCATCTTTGTTAACACGTGTAAGTAAATATTTCTATAATAAAAATATTTTATGTGTCAATATTTTATAAATCTATACATTTTCACATTCCTTTGTGTGTGTGTGTGTGTTTTTTTTTTTTAAGTTTCTGCAAATGATTTTTAAAGAATTTTTGCAATTATTTTTTTTATGTAAAAGATACTCCTGCTAAATGGTAATTGGCAAGCCCACAAGGTTGTGTTTGATTTCTATGTAGAAAATATTAGAATTGATCTTGTCTTGTGATTTTAATAAAGTTACAAATGTTTAAATATTATTTTGAATTAAAATTGTTTTTTGTCTCCAAACTTCAGCTTAATTAGAAGTGATAGTTGCAAAATTTAAACCAAATTTTATATAAAATTTCTTTCAAGGTAAAACATTTAACAAAATCAATATTTAAAATTAATTTTACTGTCACCCAAACACTGTCATTTTAAAAATTGAATGGAGAGTGGAGACAATGGTGACGTTTGATGTGCGCTTTATGACGAGGGAGATAATTCCAATAGTATCGGACAAGCAAAGTGAAAAACAAATAACGTACCTTTACTCCGTTCTCTTTCTGCCTTTGCTCTTCTCTTCATTGCTATGCCCCCCCGTGCCTTTCATTGGATTCTGCGCCGAAAAATCCTTAAAACTTCAAAATCAAAAGCTCCATCACCAACGCCACCAGAAAGGATAAAGAAGCCCCAAGGAAACGGAATCTCTCCTGTGTAAAACAAAACAAGACATGACATCAACGTTATTACATTCAATGACGGTGAAATTGATAAGCGAATATTAACTAGTTAGTTGAGAAATTATTCATTAGGAAATATTACAATGTATTCTTATACTGCGTGGACCATGATTCACAACTGCAATTGCACTCGTAAAAGGTTTTTTCACAATGTAAACTATCATGACAAATCACAACCTCAATCTAAAACCATAATTCTTACTATAATTAAAATGAGCTTCATTTCTATGTATTGTAAAAGTTATGATTATTAAAAAATATCTTATACACTCATAAAAAAAATATTGTTGATATAATTTTAATGATTGTAAGAAATAACAAATTTACCATAGAAATATACAATGTAATATTACACTACTTGTTCATAGTGTATTTTTTTATTATACAATTTCCTCTATTAAAATATTCTCAAAAGTAGGCAAATAGAGAAAAGGAAAAAAGGACACAAACTCGGGACTTATCTAAAAATGTAAAATTCTGAATGGAGTTATAGATTTATCAACATCGAAAATACTATAAAAAATAATCAGACTTAAGGCGATATTTTTTAAAAAATATTGACCTTGATAATAGTTATTTTTAAAATTCACATAAAATAACTATCTATTAAACTTCCAAATATTTTCAACTAATAAATTTAGCTAGGTAGAACCGCTAAGTTAGACATTTTTCTTAAGAACTAAATTAGACTTGTAAACGCCAATAAAAACAGACAACGCGAACAAATTAAGGGAAAAAAAGAAAAAGTTTCTCTCACCCTCTACGTGAAATCATTGAGTATACCCAATCATCTGAGTATTGTTTAAATGATAAAATCATATAAATAATCATTAAAATTGTGCCGTTCCCAGTTGGATTTCCCGGTCGGAATCCGACTGAGAGTGCTTAAGAGCTAAACCGCCCCTAGCATCAACTAAGTCCTTTCGCCTTATTGGCTCGGGGCTGGAAGGCAAATGTGACGTTCTCAGTCGGATCCCGACAGGATGTCTCTACTTACGATAGCTCGACCACCACCTCGACCGGCCTCCTAAGGGCCGCTCGGTTTATATCCGATTCGACCCATCGGTACACCATCTTTCGGTCTCCTTCCGACACCCCCCCTTTCAAGAGCCACTCGGCCTATGACCGAGAGATTACGTTAATATAAGCCATGTCGACCCCCACTCCAATCTTTCATAGCCGAGATTCCAATCGGCCTATGTCCGACCGGACCCCTTCAAATGGACCTGGTCGGTCACGACCTGATTTAACGTTCCCGCGTTTGACATAATATCTTTAAAATAAGAACAGTTAAGGAAATCCTTATATTCTCGGGGCCCATGAAACCCGTGAACAAGAAACTATAAAACTACAAACCCTAGAGTTGAGAAGGCAGATTACACTCTTGAATACTCTGACTTCGAGGCTTGACCCAGGAAAAAACCCTAGTACACCCCGTGGCCGGAACAAAAATATTAGAAACTCATCAATTTAATCCTTATATTTATATATTTTTATTAACATCAAGAGATTAATTTAAATGACTTTTCAATACTTAAAAAACTATAAACATGATTTCAACATTTAAAGACTATTTATGTAATTCATTATTTTAAAGATTATGTAGGTGAGAATAATAATTTAAGGATAGTGGTCGAAAGACCAAATTAATAATCTATTCGAAAATCAACAGTTATAGATCCAATACGCGACGCATTTTCCGACAGAAGTCATAGACAAAGACAATATCGAAAATGTGTTGCGCGAACAATAGTATATCTTTGACAGAACCCCAACAAAAGTGCGGTGAAGTTCACTTGAATAAAATTAAATAATACCCCCACAAACTAGTAATTTAATAATAGTAATAATTCACCAAAAATAAAAATAAGTAAAAAGTAGGAGGTGGCGGTGGGTTAGTTACACTAACCAGTGAGGAAGCAGAGGAAATGGACAAATAGCCGGTGGAAGACGTAGGTGGCAGCGGCGGCGTGCCAGCGGTGGCAGTGGTGGTATTGTTAACGGCGTCGTTTGGCGAAGAAGCGAGAGAGAATCCAAGGGGGTAGGCAGGGGTGCCATCGGGCTTAAAGAGACCATAGTTGCGCTCTGAAGTTGGGCCGGGCTTCATGTTCTCGTTAAAGAGGGCGAAAACGTAAATGTTCAAATCGGAGTTGGGCCTGGAGGGCGTTCCCTTCTTGGAGCTAGTCATAGCCATCTTTATGAGATTCCCATTGTACTTCTTGGCATTGTCGAGAGTGGCACCGGCTTCGTCCTGGTCCCCTTTGGAAGGCCAACCGGTTTCCGAAATGTGAACCGGCAACTTCCCGTAGCCCAAGGAATCCAAGGCGGAATAGACGGCATCGATCTGCGCGAACAGCATGTTGTCGTAGTGGAGGCTGGTGGTAGGGTCCACCATCCCCTGGTTGGGTTGGAAGAGCACGAAGTCCAACGGGACCTGCTTCGGGTTGGCCTTGTAGGCGAAGTAAGGGTAGGCGTTGATGAGGAAGGGAGATCCGGTCTTGGCTTGGAAGCTCAGGATGGGAGCCAGGCACGGAGCCAGGTCCGGACGGAAGGCTCCAGCGGAGGGAGGGTATGAGGTTTGGAGCACGGCTAGGGAGTGAGTCGTTGTGACGGTTATTTGCTTGTCGAGGCCGAGGTTGAGGAGCGCCGCGTGCACGCTCTGCATCGCTGGGAGGAGGTTGGAGGTTAGGGCGGTGTCGTTGAAGGTCAGAACCTCGTTCCCCACGAAGATTGAGGTGATTTTGGTGGCTGGGAGGTAGGGTTGGAGGTTGCCTTTGATCCATGCCTGTGCCTTGTTCGGATCTTTCATTCTCGATAGGTACTCGTTGCCTAGACCTACCATTACTTCCACTCCCGTGTTGCCCAAGGCCTTCAGCACTCGCGGATCTGCGTCGTACAGCTTCACCTTCGTCGCTCCGATGGACTTCACCAGCGCCACCGCCTCCTCCTGCGACGGAAGGTTGTTCGCTATTTGCCCGTAGTTTATGCCAATCGACGCTACGCTACGTGCCACAAATCCTACTCATACATTGTTACAACATTTTAGTAGAATAAATTAAAACGGTTGAGACTTGACAATTACTTTACTTACTACTTACCGGTGATGAACAGCATAATGAAGCAGGTTTGGAATGTGGAAAGATCCTCCATGGATCTTTGCTTGCTTAATTAGGAATGTGAAGAGAATGAATTAGGTGAGTTTGAGTTTGAGTGTGTGACTTTGAATGTGTTGCTGCCGGTGACCGAATAGATTGAGTAAGAGACAGGAACACAGGGAGAGACGAGATATTTTACTTTGGAGAGAAAAATAAAATGGATAGATGAAAATAAAAAAAAAATAATAAAGATTCCCTCGAAAAAAAAGGGGAAGCCAGACACGCGGAAAGATGGGCGCAACAAATTCCATTATTTACAAACAAGACGAATGAGATGCTTCGACATGGAACCCTCCTACCTCTATCCTACACTTTTTTCAGCCTCAACAAATTTATTCAAAGCTCAAGAACAAACTACATTGGATCCATTTAGATTAAGATTTCAGTAAATTGTGAATGATTGAGATTAATTTATTACCTTTTTTTTACTAGTTCACGAAGAGTATAGATTTTAAACTTTTTTTAGAGACTCTAGATATTTTTCTACTGGAAATAATTAACTCAGCTATTCACTCAGAGAATAAATTCAAGCCTATTGATTTAATTTGAACAATTTCATACACTAGCTGATAAATAATATATGAATAAATGTTTATTAAATGTGTTATTAATAAATTATTTTAACTATTTTTTAGTAATTTCAATTTAAATTTATTAAATTCACCCCATTGTGTAACACCCTTACACTTTGTTTGAGTAAGAAGAAAAATAGAAAAGAAAAAACATATAATAGAAAGAAGTAGGAAAAAAAAAAAGAATGACTAGAAAATAGGTATAATTTTAAGGTGTTTGAATTGAAATAAATATAAAAAAAATAAAGAATGAATTTTCTCTTTACGTGTTTGATTAAATAAAATAGTTAAGAGAAAGAAAATAACTTTTTTTTTTTTGTAAACACGTGTTTTTCTTTAATATATAATATAACAAAATTAATGTATTTTTAATATAATATTTTTCTTAAAGCCTAAACAACATTATTTACTCGGAAAAGAAAATCTGTAAACCATCAGAATGGAGCATTGTTTCTCGCGAATTACAATGCAAGCATGTTATGTTATTGCTTTGGTAGCCATATCCCGGTAAAATAAACAAAAATGAAAGTTACTTTTGTAATTTCATCGCATGCTCTGCTCTCCTCCTTTCTCAGTTTTCTTCCTGCAAGAGAAAATATTTTGTTTTTAAGTTGGTTCTACACTCATTTTCTTTCTTTCCTAATTTTCTCTCTATCGAAACAATACTTTTTCTTACTTTTCTCTCTTCTTAAAATCTGCTGAACA